TTTGCCTTACTCTTTTGATTATATTGCAATTATAACATCTTGGTTATACAACTGGTAATCTCACAATTCTGTGTAAAAGGTTAAGGATAAAAACAGGATCCACGCTTTCCTGCCCTGCATGCAAAGCAGATACTGGGGTAGAGGACACTCTACGAATGGGTGTTATAGTCAGTAGTCTAAATGTTAGCCATACAAACCCAGAAGAATTAGACTTACTGGGGTCAGTGGTTCACGACTCCACTAACAGGAGGGAAATAGGGAATGGAAGCTGTTGCTTTCACTTTGGGGGTTAATGAGCAACAAATGCAGCCCTAATGGCCAAATACTGAAACAAGGATGAGCTGAAACTATGGAGCAACAACTCCTCGTTTACCTATGTATCTGAGAGAGGTCCCCCCCGCAAGGCAGAAACAAACGACATATGGGATAGTGGTCCACCTGTTGGCTTTATCGGTATACCAGGCCACGCTCTATCTCCACATATTAAGAATATCCCAGGATAAGGAATCTCTTAAACAGCACGATCTGGGCTGGTGAGGGACCACATTGATCAACGTAGGAGCATGCATCAATTAACAGGAACATGCAACAGCCAAATTACATTCTGGAATTACCCTATTAGGGTAATAACAGCCCTCCTTCTTCCAATACTTGCTTCAAAAAATGCTAAGGAGAAGTTAGCGTGTTGGACAGCAAAGGAGCTGAACCTTGCATCTGTAAGTAATACAGGATTAGTATATGATGTAGGTAATATACGTCACGCAGTCCTACAGAGCAGAGCCGCTACTGATTTTTTTTACTACTTGCACAGGGCATGGTTACGAAGACTTTAGTGGGGTGTATTACTTTAAGCTTTCAGACCATTCAGAGTCCATACATAAGAAATTGGAAAAGATAAAGGACAATATGAATCAGATACGAATTGGTACTGGCCCTATATTAGAGGGTCTGGAAGAGTTGTGGGAAAAGCTTACCAGTTGGTTACCTAATTTTTGCATGTTTAAAGCAACTCTTTGTAATTTGTAGTATCATAATCATTTTGCTTGTCATAATGTGTGTTGCAATGAGATGTGTATTATGGCTTTGTAAAAAATCAGGAACGATTATAAGGAATGGAAAAGGCATAAGTTAAGATAGAAGGTGGAAAGTGGGAGCTATTTTAAGGCCTCACTCTCCTGTAATGGAGTTATCTAGCAAAAGAATTTGCTAGGATAAAGGGGGAGAATTGAATTAAGGAATGGCAGGTTATTGATTAGCTATTGTATTAGGGTGCAAGCTAAGCAGGAATTTGGAGAAAACAGGATAAGGGACAGAGTGCTGTGGTAAACTGAATGGAAAGAATGGAAATATCAGCAGGAAGTGCTGAGGCATTGTCAGCAGGAACCAGTTGACTTCTGTTAGTTGAACGCAAAACTAGGCTAAAGATGAAGACTCAAAGAGAGGAAGACAACTAACTTCATCCCCACAATCACCAGATGACCCCTGCTGTGAACCACGCATACATCAAGGGGAGAAGCAGCATGCAGATGAGTTTCCAGAAAATTAATGAATATCTAATTAAATCCCAGAACATGTTTTGAATATGCATAAGGTTGCTTTACAAATTTGTACCACTCTTGCTTTTTGGTGTGAGTGTTAGGAGGAATTATCCTCCACATACCCAACGATGCACGTCTCATTGAATAAACATGCCTGCTTTATAACCTAACTCTGGGTTATAGTCTGATTCTGCAAATCAACTGCTACTTTCGATGTAAGCTTCTCTATTCACTAAAAAGTAAATTGGTAATTTTGGAAGCCTCTGAAGTAAACTGTAAAAATTTTTTTGTGTAAGTGTGCAGAGTTCTTAAGTCTTGGAATTGATGCTATGATTAAATCTTTTTTTCTTGCTCTTATAAGAAATTCACTTTATTACATGTTAGTACTGTACAGTTTATTGGGATCATGGGAAAGGAGAGCTGAAGTTGTAGATTATTCTATTAAGAATAATAGCTGAACATAAATATTTGAGGGATTTCTTAGTATTGGAAAATGAATGTTTTTTCCTTGTGGAATGCCAATCTCAAATTCACAGTGGGAGACAAGATCATAACTGTGGGGTGGATTTTCAGTAGTACCTGCCAAGATGTAAGAGATGCTGTGAAAGCAGATTGTTAGCTGTTAAGCACATTGCCAGAATGATAAGAATTTCAAGTAGTAAGGAAGAGGCACTTTTATTTTTAATAACTTTGCAGGAAAGAAGCGTTAAAATAAATGTCAGAAACGTCTCAGCTGAAGAAACGTCACATCTAATGCCTATAGTCAGGTCTGAGAGAAAACCAATGCTTATTTTAAATTTATCTGTTAAACTGATTAAAATATATCGGAAAGATGACTGCAGCAATCACCAAAATCAAGAAACTGAGTCCACTTAAGTTGATATTTTCTTATGCTGAAGGGTTCAGTGGTACTCTGCTCCCAAAACAGTTATGCTTCAAAATGTAGGGAGTTCATGCACAAGCTGTGTTTTAGGAAGCTAGGCTTAATTTGCAAAAGGTGACAGGAGAGCTAAGATGAGTACAAAGTTCCTTGCATGATAGCACACTTGTTCTTTAGTTTGGGCTCCACTGACATTGTCTGCTTGCAGGTCTGCTGTATGTCTAGCAGTCATCAGGAATGCTGTTTGGCAGAGTCCACTGGTAGTATCCTCTAAAATGTCAGTTGTTTTTCAAGATATTTGCTTTATTTGCACAGTTCTCCATTGGGTTTATGTTTTCCAGACATAGCCCTATTCTTGCAGTAGTGTTTTGGTTTGTTTCTTGTTGGCTATTTTTTTTTCCTCATTCATTTATTTATTTGCACAATTTAGATTAAGTGGTTTCTCTATCCAGGTTTTTGTTACTTCATGAGACAGCCTTGGATCCACAATCCTCATGCCTGGCCTTGAAGTATTTCAAGTCCAGATGTGTTTGTCATGAAGGCCTTAGCAGTGAGCCTTGGACTTTTGTATACAGGGTAATCCCAGACAAATAGCAACAGCTTGGGCACAAGTCATCTGCATGGTATGTGAGCATGGTATTTGCCTGTTATCTGAGTGTATGGCAAACCTGTGTGGATTATCTGTTATGTGCATCACAAATTCAGCACTATTCATGCAAGTTTCATGTACTGAGATATCTGTAGTGTCACTTGCAGACATCTGTGGGATTCCTTAGCATGTAGAAAGCTGTATTTGAGTCTCTGAATGTCCTACCTGAATACTAGAAGCTTATAGTGCAGCTGTTGGGAGCACAGAGGATAAGAGCAGAGGCCTTAAGAATACAGACTCAGGGTGATACAGGGACCCAAGGATAAAAACATAAAGTGTGAGTAGGCAATTACAAAAATACAAAGATTAGATTTTAAAACTGCCTTGAATTTGCATCCCAGATAGGCAAAAATTATGAGGAAGGTTTCTAGGCCCAGTTGGATGGATAATCATCTCAGAGTCACTAACAGTGAGAAGGCTGTATCATACATAAAGTTATATCTTAGATATGAAATTATGAGAATTTCCATAATAGAACAAGTAACAAAAACGTCTTGAAATATGTATGTATTTAAATTAGAGAGCAAGGAAGGGAATTTTTGAACTGTTACAGGGTGTGGATGGAATAGTCATTAAGAAGCTTTAAACCTTATTTCCAAAATGCATTATTTCATTTACAGTAGTATTGAGCACGAGGATAAATAAGGATGGGTAGTGGGAATGAGAATAGGAAACATACCACTTGTAAAGCAAAAAAAAAAATTTGAATTTTATAAGCTAT